TTGGAGAAAGAGAAGTTAATTTAATGGATTTATAGGGATACAGTAGTCTTATGATGCTACTGCCACAGAATGTGAAACCCTGCTGGGTGTATGGTAGCCACAGCTCTGCCTTCTTCCACTCTACTGGGTGAAAGTATCTCACAACAGATCTCTTCTGTGTTCCCCCCTCACCCCTCTACTTGCCATATTCTACTCCAGAGGGGACCTCGCTCCTCCAGAACTGATTTTGAGAATGTGGGGAGAGGGCTGAAAGATGACAGAGTGAGCCATTCCTGTTCCAGTGAAAGAAGTCATTGCAATGATCAGAGAAGCTAACTGAAAGCAACCCACTGACTACAGTTTGTTTATTCAAACTATTTTAATTAAAACACAGAGATTAGAATAACCACCATACCAAAAACTCACTTTCAGATGCTAACTTTACACCAAGTTTTAAATTATGGATAACACTGCTAAGTATTAAAAAATCTACTCTTCCTGCCCACAACAGTTGTCACCATGTACATTCTTCCTGTACACTTCCTGTCCTTCACAAATGCTAACACCTATAGTGCACTTGTTGAATATCAGAAATGACTGGACAGTTATTTCAGAGTTTTGACACTTAAGCCTGTAACATGCCCAATTCAAATATCAAAGCACACACAATTGTGATAGTATCAATGTAATAGTATCAATTCTGTCAAGTGGTAAGTTTTTAACTATGAGTTAATAAAACTCCTTTGATACACATAAGCACACCATAAAAAGCTATATTTAATAAATTTCCAACTTACACTAAAAATTATGTGTAAGAAAGTAATTAAACAATTATTTGAGGTCAGCATAGCTTACAGTATTTCTATATCTGTAAATGTATACCTAGCCTTTCCGCCAATAAACTCAAGATGGCACATACAGCTCTCCTCCTCCCTTTTATTCTCATAATAGTCCTGTGAGGTAGGTCAGACAAAGAGTATGCAACTGGCCCAAGATTATCCTTTGAGTCTTATTGTCAACTGGTGATTAGAATCTGTATCTCCCCAATCTATGGCTATATTGTACAACAGTACAGTACAATATATGGAACAGCCTTCCAACAGAGATCCACCTGGCACCCTGACTGGGTGCTTTTAAGAGCCATTTAAAGACTTGGCTCTTTAGGCAGGCCTTCCCATCTGTCAATTCTTGAATTCTATCTCTTTGTTTTATCATTTCGCCTCCTGAACACACCATATTATTGATTTAATTGTTTAATGATGATGTTTTATTATATTTTATGATTTTTTTGATATTTGTAAGCCGCCCCAAGTAGACACTGTCTAGGGGGGTGGGGTAAAAATCTAATAAATAAACAAACAAACAAATAAACAGTGTAATTTAGAACCTGAGATGCAAAATATCAGGGTAGAAGAAACTGTATCACATCTAACGTCCAGGCCTGTATCCAATGATGTCTTTGGAAAAGTTCAAGGCCAGCTGTGCAATTTCAAAGTTAGGACAAGGTTGGTATCCAATACAGTTTTTGTTGCACAAGCAGTTATACAACCAGCAATGCAGGCACTTGCACATGTGTTTTGAATATACTGTCATGCAACTGTAATTGTGCTATTAGGCATTTTCACTCTTCTTGTGTTATGTTGAATTTAGGCCTCAATATTTCCACATTCCAGTCTAATGTATCCATAGTCATTTTCCAAAGTGCAAAATTTTCCTACAGTGTTCTGGGATATGTACTAATCTACTCACTTCATTGAGATGTCAGGCAGTAATCCCAAAACAATCATAACTGTCTGTTAATGAAGTGTGTCAGAGTCCTACATCAAGGATAATATTTGTGTCACAGAAAAATGGCCCATTATTTATTAATAATGCTTCTGAGAAAACAGACATTCTGAGAAAACAGACACAAACATTCACAGAAATAAAACTGCTAGTCTTTAAAGTGCTACTTTGTCTATTTTTCCTTTCTTGGTCAACAAAACAGTGTTGTGGCTCTCAAAAAGTTGTAAAGAGTTGATCCACTGTACAATGTTTATGTAGTTTATCTTTTTATGAAGATACAGTTATCAATTTACACATCATTCCTGGTGCTCCTGATCTTGACCAGGTATTAACCATCGAATGCTCTCTGTCCGAACAGTAGCATACATGATGAAACTGATGAGAAACAGTAAAGAAAATAAAAGCAGCCAGTCTACTCCCCTACTCAGTGTACTAGGCAGGGGACCAGCTTGATCTTCCTCAGTGACAACAACATCAGGCTTCGGTTCTATTCCTGAAATAAAATATTCATTTATTAGCTTGATGGAATATTAAACAATAGATTTGTGCTATCTGTCTTTTCATACAAACTCCTACATTTTTCATTTAAGAATTTGGATTCAGACAATTTCACTACCATCTGCCATTACAGCATCTAAACTCTGCAGATTTCAAAATGCATTCCCATGTTACATTAAACAGATACTTAGCAGTATTACCTAAAACATTATTGTCTTTCAATATATTTTGACTTATTTCGGATTTCATTCCCACTTTCCTCTCCAAATATATCTACTTCAAACATTACAGTGTAATAAAGTATCCTGTTGCACAACTCTGCTGATACAAAGATTGCCACAGATTAAAGAGTCCCTGCTTCAGTTTTGGACTGCATGCAATAAAACGAAGTCATGCACAGCCTGAGATTTAATGGAGGATTCCAATTCATGGCAATCTGACATTGCTGGTGACATAATTTCTGCTGTGCCAGCAGAGCTACACAGTAAGGTTTGCATCTATGAAGATTCTCAGTCATCCAGGTGAGGTTATCTGGAAGCTAAGCCATGGCAACTGGAGCTCTTTCTTAGGTTGAAACGTTTCGCTCCTTGGATGAGTAGCAAAACGTTTTAGCCTAATAAGGAAGAAGTCCAGTTCCCATAACTCAACTTCCAGTAAGGTTTTGACTACTACAGCCTTCTGTTTTGATATCAACTCCTTTATTAGCCCTTTCAAAATTCAGTTGAATATTTTTCAACAAGAGAAACTGAACAGACTTGTTGGTTGTTGTGGGTTTTTCGGGTTCTTTGGCTGTGTTCTTGAGGTTGTTCTTCCTAACGTTTCACCAGTCTCTGTGGCAGGCATCTTCAGAAGACAGGAGTAGCACGCTGGTAGTGCTACTCTTCCCTGACAAGAGAGCGCACCCGGCCACAAAGACTGGCGAAATGTTAGGAAGAACAACCTTCAGAACAGGCCAAAGAACCCAAAAAACCCACAACAACCATTAGATCCCAGCCATGAAAGCCTTCGTGAATACACTGAACAGACTTGTTTTCTTCAGCCCTCTCAAAAAGTTGAAAACACACTAGTACACAGTACAGATTATTTTTCTCTTTTGTATATGATGAAATAGACTAGTTTTATTTACTCACACAAAATAAACTTGCTGATGCCACAATACTCTTACAGTATTTGTTTTTGCTAACCACCCCCCTAGGAAATTCTTTTCTTCTCTCATGAGCTACTGAAGAAGGCAAGCTTGGTCTATACCTATCTTAGTTTTCTCCATTGTTTGAAGAAGTCTATGAGTGCCAGAGTGGAGTTGTTTCTTACTATCTTACATGAGCAAACAAATCAACTGCTAACATGGGCAAAGAGACATAAGTGTAGCAACAGATACGCTTCACCATACATCACCAATCTAAGAATTAAGTTTTAATTTAAACACTTTCAGAATGATGCATAAGAATCTGGACACTCTTCTACAGAAATAGAAGGATCCCTAAGCCACCATATATAGCCTGATCCTATAATTTTTTTATAGTACCAGCCAAGTTATGAAGGTTACTCAGCCAATAAAAAGCCTACTAAGAAAAATATATATATAATCATAGAATAATTGAGTTGGAAATGGCCTGCAAGGTCAGCAAGTCCAGCAGGAATACAAGTTAAAATATATCTGAAAAATGGCTATTTAACCACCTTGTTTTATTTGCCTGCACTTTGTGTCTCGCCTCCTGTTTTTTAAAGACTTATTGCCATGGATCAGTTTATTAGACTCAACATTCCAGCTGATTAGTTATTTGACTGCTCTAATACTGACACCTCCTTGCCTCTCTTTACTTTACTCTCTCCCTTTTTAATCAACTGTCCCCATACTTTTTAAGTTGCAACATTTTAGGTTTCTTTTCTATTAATCTCAATAATGTATTATATTTCATTTTACTAGCACAGTATGTTAACTTAGGAATTGCATTTCTGTATTTCCCATAGGTGCTATATTTTTACACTTTTTCACTTTTCAATATACTGAGTACATCTTTTCTTCTCTCTTACTTGGTGACTATCTCATTTTCCTGTTTCCTGCTGAATAGACTCAGATTTTATTTCAGTTTCTACTAAACAAGTATTTCCTTTTCTTTTCATCTCCACCATGGTGGTTAACATCCCATTACATTCTGCAATAAAAGATTTAAGTAACTATTAAGGGTGTCATTCACCTGTTTCTCAATCTCAATTAACTGATTTATTGATTTATTTAAAATATTTTTACCCTGCTAGGTCAGAACTGAATCAAGTATCCTGAAACAAAGAATGGCTAATGTGTGGAAAACTGAACATGAATAACTCCACACTACAATATTTTCTTGCAGGTCTCATCTGTGCACATTTACTCAGAATTATCTGTACTATGTTCAGTGTTCCTTACCCAAGAACCAATCCTAGGAGTGCTTTCAGCCACATTCTGTCCTCCTCATAAATCTCAAAATTTAAACATGGCTGAGAAGAGGCTGCCAGTATTCTCCTAAAACAAGACAACAAAGATTCCTAGGAATCATAAAATAACTTTTAGAACTAGGTCTTGATGGGACTATACAAGGCTCTGAACACTTTATAATGCTACAATCTTACCTGTCTGATTAAAAATGAAAGCTTTCAGTGTTTCCAGGGTTCGATCCGTATGATTAAACCTTGCCATCGGCTTAGCTCCTTGAAAAAGAAGAATATTAGGAACAGCCACAGTTCCAAATCTGGTTGATAGACTGCAAAGGTACAAAATAAAACAGAAGAAAATTAATCTCTCAATTAACTCCATTTAAAAAGTCACACTTTGTTTTCTTTGTAAAATCTACATCACTGTTTATCTTCAGCAGGGAAATCAGAGAGTATGTAGACAAGAGATTCTACTTTGGCCAATGCTAACTTAGAGTGAAATGTGTACTCAGGAAACTGCACCCTTTAAGAAAAGAGTAGAATGTAATGAATGTCTACTTGGCATTAGCCTGCAGTTGGGACTACACCATGGCAAATGAAGCATTCAAGTAAAGTAATTTTTCAGTAATTCAAGTGAAAAAGATTGAAGGAGAAAGAAAATTCAAGACAAAGACATGTATGCATTTTAAATGTACTTTTGAAATATGAAAAATGAGTAGCAAATATACTAGATGACTTGTTCTGAAGCATGTTTCCCTTAAAAATAATACAAATATAAATTAGTTACCTGCTATGCTGAGAGGCATCCAAAGCCAAAAAATGTAAAGTGGGGAATGCTCGAGGCAAAGAATTAAAATGAGGAGCCAGATTGGCAGAAAAACGGCACCAAGGTGTATAAAATAGGACTAACGTGCAGTCACTGCCATTTGGATTTAAGAACTCCATTAAATCCTATGGAAGAAGGGGAGAAAAAGAAATTGACATTATGTGTTTGATATACTACTGCTCATATTCCCTTCTCAAGAATGTAATGGATTATTTTACATGAAAGATTAACACTTCCACTAAAATCAAAAGGTTATTTCCAGGTAGTCTGCACAACACTTACAATAAATTGGGGTCACTGCTGCTATGTCATTCAGAAACTACTTTGGTGTTTATTAGCAAACATTTGTTATCTTAAAAGTATCAGTGTTGCCTATTTTCAACCAGCAGGACAGGCACAATTTCATTTAATGTCTCATGTTTGCATTTATTGTTTTGTTTGGTTAAAGAAATATCACAGTTTTGAAGAATATTTAAATGGCAATGAAAAGACCTTTTAGCCATCACCCATAAAAAAAATTCAGATCCTACCAAATCCTAGAGTAAATGCTTCCAAAATTTAATAACATATATTTATATAGTTTATATAAACTTGAAGTTTACTGAGTGTTACAACTGAAAATCAAGGTAGGCCAAATATACTGATTAATAATCACTCAGCAACTCTGAAGATATATCAGAAATATACTACGCCCATATTCCATGAACTGTGAAATTCCTTCTTCATATTTCAGTTCTTTTAAGTTGTACTACAATGACCCTCAATAATGAACCGTAATGACAGCCTTTGATCTGTATAACAGAACAACATTTCATCTGAAGTTTAATATGAGCTTCTAAATATTAAGGTTTATGTATACCCAGAGAAAAAGACTGCACCTCCTGATTAATTAACAAAGCTAATATCGGAACATCTTAATTCAAATATTTGAACCTGCAGTGTGATGAACACAATAATTACACTTATCAAAAATTCAAATGAGATTCAAGGAGTTTCCACTTGACTATAACAGCAGTGGAATTCTGTAACTTCAAAACAAAAATGTGGAAAAATAGTCTGTCAAACAGTTCTAGGGACAATTAACAATGTGCTACAAAACTTACTCATTTAATCAAATAGTGTAAAAAATGGGAGAACAGCAAACCATGTAGCCCATTTGCAAAGGAAATTCCCCTCGAGAGATTCACCTGAGATTTTACTTACTTATTCAACGTCCATATCACCCATCTAGTTACCAAGGGCAGTTCACAACAGAGTGAAACAACCGACAACACTTTTTAAAAAAAACTGAACATAATTACTATACAAAAAACAAATTTGACCTATCAGACCAAACACACAAAAACAACACAGAATAAGTAAAAATAATTTAAAAATCAAGGTGGCAGAACAGGTTGTATAAGTGATGAAAAGCCTCTGTGCTATGATTATGTAAACTCTGGGGAAGCCTGTCTAAACAGCCATGTTTTCAGAGATCATTTGAAAATTCCCAGTGAAGGGGCCAGGTGAATTCTGGATGGGCAATCATTCCAGATCATTTAGGTGGGAGATCATTTGTTTCCATGATTGGGTGCATGGGGGGCAACCACCAAGAATGATCTCCCAGAGGTGGGGGGGCAACCACCAAGACAACCTAGTTTCTGGGAAGATTGGGTAGGTCAGGTAGGTCTTACTAGAAGAAGGTGTATCAAGATCCCAGTTTAGGGCCTTGTATGTCAACGTTACTTTGAAATTGGCATGGAAACAAATAGGAAATCAGTACAAGGTGGCCATGGTAGGGGAGATATGATGGTATTTCTTCACTCCGATCCATAATTTGACTGTCATATTCTGAACCTGCAAAAATTTCCGTAGCAGCCTCATGGGCAGCTCCATGTAAAGAGCATTACAGTAGTCTAATCTCGAGAGTACCAGTGCATGGACTAGTGGGGTGAGTGACCCAGTGTCAAGGTAGGGATGTGGCTGGGCAATTTACCTCGGATGCAAAAGAAGCAGTATAACACAGAAGGAGCCTTCCAGTTTGGAGGGAAACCAATAATCTGAAAGATGGCAACAGAATCCAATTTCTCACATTCATTAATGTTTTATTTAGTCATACCTCTCAGATTTACACAGGCCGTTGTACTGTATAAAATGTTAAGACAAACAAATATTATAAAATAAAAGTGGGTAACAAAAATAGATCAGAATGCTTTTCACTTACTTGGGAAATATTCAGGATTTGTAATGTAAAATTTGTCATCCCTGTAATGTTTCTTTCCTCACAATTCACTTTTGGAGTTTTCATCATGTCTGTGCTATTAGAATCCTCTGCTGATGTAGGATGCACAGCTTCCAGAAGTACAGGTGGTTCTTTTATTTGCTCTTGAACATGAGATTCTGACTGAAATACAGATGAAACAGCACCCTGCATACTGCATTCACCATCAACAGCTGCATCACAAGTGCCAGTGTCCAACTCAGAACCTTGCCTCTGCTTTGTCTCACCTGGAATGACTGACAGTACCACAGGCTGCCCTGGAGGCATGCTGCTACCCATCATAGCATCAGCAATCTCTGCAGTCCTGTACTGGATTGATTCTTTAGGTCCTTCACTGCTTGCAGGTACAGAACTCCCTTCTACAGTGAAAGGCAAGGTAGCATCACTTAACTTTTCAGACAGCAAGTCCGCAGTTTCATCTGTTGCTATAGAAGACGTAAACAAAAGCATTATCTATTTTCATTTCTGTAAGAAAACATTCACATAATTTTCATGAATCTACTTCTCCTTAACCCAATTTAACTTACAGTTTTATTCACACAGTGACAAAAACTAAAAATACATTTTCAGACAGAAAGAATATCTCTATTTAGATGCTTTTTGCCCTACTTTATTTTCTTTAGTACAACCAATGGTACAACAGAACAGCATTTATCTCAACACAGAAGAAGTTGATAGAATTTACAATCCAGAGAGTAATTTTACACTATATATTGGAATAAAAACACTCTGTAGTGTTGGCCAAAGTGGGGTGCATTTGAAAAAACATTCCTTCTCCTGTATGTCACTGACATAGAAAACCTTCATTTACTTTTGGTTGTACCATACTATCATCTGTATCCAAGCTAGAATTGTAAGTATATTATACTATTAACATTGCCTCTGTGTTATACTATGGCAAAATTTTGTTGGTGCAATTCTCCTGGTTGGGGTACTGGAAATAACATAAATTAATTTGAAGCTTTCTACCCTGCACTTCCTATTTTTGCTTCTAAGATTTTTGCCCTGGGGAAGCAATTGAGCGCCTCAGGATGGGGAGGGGAAAGCAGCTTTCAATAGTCAAATACCACTGCCAGATCTTTGGTTGTGAGTTTTTACTATTAAAAACTACCACCACCACCGCCGCCATCCAAGGGTCCAAGACTCTCAATGGTTTCCCTAGGGCAAAAGGGGAGTCCAAGGAAGCCTCAGAGGCAAATACAGGGACAGGAAGCTTAATATTAATTTAAGTAATTATTTCTGGAGCCCGAATCCAGTTTAAGTTGGTAGAACCGCAATAAAGAGCTCTACAAACGCTATATCTGTGAAAAATATTTACAACAATCTTCATGAGGAAACAGTAGAAATCTAGTGTACAATATTTCAAAAGTTGCACTAGAAACTGATTTCCATCATTATTCAGCTACAGAAAATGTGACTGGGTTACAGCACTTTGCATTAGTTTCAGTGACTGATAAGTGAGATACTGTTGGGTTTGACTTTGCCTTTTTATTTGTTGATTCATTTTATCCAACATTATTATTCAATGATCTACTCAATAATTGCACTGAAGAGAAATAAGCACAAATAAAGAGGAACACTGGCAACCACTCTCTCTATATCTACCTATTATACAGCAGTCAAGAATTCAGCAACTTCAACCTTGCACAACCTAGTATTTTATTATTTGCTTGAATCCTTAGGATCCACCAATCTGTTTCAATCTTAAAATTAGGAGTATGCACTCAAGACCTTTTAAGGCATGGCAATGAACGTGTATTAAGTGCTCATATGCACACAGTCTTCTTACTTATTATTTATTTATTTAACTTATATGCCGCCCACACTACCCGAAGGTCTCTGGGCGGCTTACAACATTTAAAAGAAGTGTATGTAATTCGCTGGATCAGATGAACTCCGTTTAGGTTTTTTGCAGACAGCAGATATTCTGCCTTCTGCCCACCCCACCCAGTGAACTTCAGAGAGAAGCCGACAAAAAGGAGAGCTCGTTTGCTTCTTTTCTCCCAAAGCCTGAGCAGGGCAGGGACAGCCAGAAAGCTGGCGGTCATTTGCGGATGCTTCTGGGGGGGAAAAGGAGGCGTGTGGGAGCCTCTTGCAAGCCCTACGGCAGGGCCGGGGCAAGGAGGAGGAGGTCCTCTCCGCCTTTTGGGGCCCCCGAGCATACTGGCGTCCTCTCCGGCAGCTCTGAAACCGCCTTGGGTCCTTTTAAGGGGAAAGACGGGGTAAAAATATCTCAAATAAATTAATTAAAAATTAACCAATTCAGATATAAGCCCAGCGGCGCCGGCCTCTTCATCCAGAAGTGCACAGAGCAGACGCTCTGCCTTTGCCTGGGGTCCCCTCCCGAAGGGACGGCGCGTTTCCCCCGCAACCGCTCTTTCCTACCTGCCAGAAGGCGCCCGAGGAGGTAAACCAGCCAAAGGCGGAGGCGCCATCCCCTCATCCTCGCCAGCGAGGGCGCTGAGGGCGCCAGAAACGAGAGCAGCCGCGGGACCAATAGCCTAGAGGGGAGCAGGCTCTAAAGAAGAAGGCGGGGGAAAAATCCGTTTTCCCCTCAACAGCCACTTCCGGAACTTCACTCGTTTCCGCTTCCGGGCCCCTCTGGCAACGAGTACCTCCTAGCTCTCTATGGTAAGTGCGCGGGCCGTCCGTTCTTTTGTCTGGCCGCCGGATGTTCGGAAAGGCCAGACTGGGAGGAAGAATAGGGGGTGTGGGGTGAGCCAATTGGTGGGAAGGACCGCTCCTGTTTTTAGCATAGTGTCTGAAAAGAAGTGGTTTATAAACCGCTAAAATATACCCCGAAGTCAATCTGTTAAAGGTGTCACAAGCTTCTCCGCCCCCAAGACTCCCCTACAGATTAGTTACACCCCCCAAGGTCCTATAAATTAACAGCTTTGCTCAGCTCTTGCGTGAACTTCCCCTAAACAGTCGATGCATCGCTTACTTGGCCGTCCTCTCTTCCTGCTATCTTCCTCTGTGAGCGCCTTCCTTTTTTTCAAAATTGCTACCATGCAGAAATTAGCTTTGCAAATAGTTTCCCATTCTCCTGCTAGGATAATACACTCAGAAATTCAGAACGTCTTATGTCTTCAAGTTCAGATCTTTTCGTGTGTTAAAAATATTCAATAAGTAACAATATTATGGACAGCCTACGGCAGATTGCGAGGATGGCTGAGTTGAGAGATACATCAGTGTTGAAGGATGATGTTAATAGCCCTAAAGCGTAGTTCACTTTATTATCCCCATATTGCAAGGACTGGACAGATAAGCTAACCTGTGATAAGAGATCCATCCATTTGCACACAAACGCATCGTGGCTACTACACCTTAGCCAAAAGGATTTTAAACAATACAGGACTTAAGGGGAATGTAGTCTTCCCTTCTCTGTCGGAACTCCTTATAATTCTGTAATGTCGAAGGATGACAGGGCGAAACTTTGTCCTTCTTGATTTGCCCGTGAAGATTCGTCTGTTCGGAGCACAAATTCAAACCAAACAAGCACCGTCAGTTCATTTACAACAAACAAACTGGAAAAGAAAGCAAAGGGCAACCAGGAGGAGAAAAGCAAAATACTGTACAAGAGGATCCGTGATTGCAGGGAAATTCAGCTGGCAGTGGCTGCTATAAAGCCTGTTAACTAACACAGAAAAGGGTGACATTCTATGAAATCTCATGAGGCCACAGATAACGATGTTAATTTGAGATAGTATAGATTGAAAGCATTCTCAGGATCGATCCCACACTGTTCTCAATCTATGAACTTGAATGGTCGTTGACACTCAGTTTTACAATCCATGTTTATTTGTTCAAGCATTTTGATGCCACTGCTGATATATGTTTGCTGATATTCTCAGCTTTTGTTTTTAGACAAATGAGGCATCCTATTTCACTCTGATTCTATGAAAGTTGTACAGTTGTTTTAACCCTGCCTGAACATAGCCCCTTTACAAAATTTGATGTTCAAAAGATTAGTAGTGCCATTAGTGTCTGGCAACATACATTAGAAAGAATTGATCTATTTCAACATCATGGGAAGCATAGATTGGATTCAAATCCCCATAATCGAAATGTAGTGGATGATGGCATTGATACAGCTACTTCTTAATCTTTTGAAAACAAGGAGGCATATGTTAGAAGGGTCAAGTTCTTCAGTGGCTTGTTGTGGGTTTTTCGGGCTCTTTGGCCGTGTTCTGAAGGTGGTTTTTCCTAACGTTTCACCAGTCTCTGTGGCCGGCATCTTCAGAGGACAGCAACCTGTGCTCTGGGGCCTTGCTTAAAATGAATTCTGAAATCTTGGTAATGAAGACACATCCTTATCAATAAACCATGACTCAGACAATCCAGACAATCCTGTTTTCAGCTTCTCCAGTGATAGCTCTGAGTTTCCTGCATATTTCTATTACACCATCGCTATCAGCATGGAAGAAAAATAACATTTAAAATACAGCCTTAACATGGAGTAAAATTCCCTTGGTTCCTTTTACTACATAGGCTGGTCACAATCTGCACAATCATGGTTATGTTGGTGTCTCTTAACTAACCTCTTTCTGCAAGATGGTTTGCTGCTCCAAAACAGGAGTTAGCAGAGCTATTTGATTTCATTATTTACAGCTGTGGTTAGTAAGGTGTAGGGAAGACACCTTGTATAGCACACTGCACAAAAATAATGTCCAGTCAAAAGCAATAGGACCCACTGAAGGTAACTTTCAGGAACTTCGTTTGCAGGCATACGGTAATTCCAAAGTTTACTAACATGGAAAAGCATTTATATATGTATGCCCAGACCAATGAAAAACTAACATTTTGCCACTTTGTGATGTACATGTTATATATGTTTCCCAAGACTGTTTACATAGTTTGCATCTGCCCATATCTCCATGTGAGAATGTAATGTAATACTGTACTACATGCATTTTCACTCAATAGTAACAACAGCCTTGCATGGTTGTTGAAACTCACCATCTCAACTCCCCCCACTCTCCTGATTGAAGACTAGATAAGCCTAACATGCGAGTAAAAAGGTAAAGGTTCCCCTTTATACGAGTACTGAAGTCCAAATCAAATAAGTAACAAAGGTTGAGTCAGCGGCTTAACTTGCAATTTGCAAGTTAAACCAAAGTTGTCTTTTTTAATCCTATCTTATAATGAGAATGTAATAGGAATCCCTATATATACAGTACAGTATATAACAAAATACAGTGGGGTCTTGACTTGAGAACTTAATCCGTATTGGAAGGCGGTTCTCAAGTCAAAAAGTTTGCAGGTCAAATCTGCATTTCCCATAGGAATGCATTGAAAACCATTTGATCCGTATCTGCTCTTTTCCGTCCATAGAAACTAATGGGAAGCTGCTATTCCGCCTTCGACCACTAGAGGGGG